ACACGCTGGCTACAGACATCCAGAGTTGGCCGGGAAGGAACGGGGTACAGGAAGAACAACCCCACTCACACGTGTGGAACGGCGTCCTGTCCGGCAGCGAGCGAGTTTTCCTCCGGATCGGGAGCGATTTCTCCATCTCCTCCTTCAGGATCATCTTGCCGAGGTTGGAGGTGACCTGGGGGACAAAGCGACACCGCTCGGGACCGGTGCCATCGCGTCCCCAACCCCTCAGAAAACTCCCCCCAACCCTCCGCACCCCTCACCTTGCTCAGCTCCTGCCGCTGGAGCTCCCGCAGGTTCTTCATCTCCTCCGACAGATCCTCATCCTCCTCCTCGCCCCTTTTGGACGCCATCCGCCTCCTCCACTCCGTTTCTGGGGAGGAAAAATGGGATTTTCGGTTCATTCCCATCCTTCCCGGGGGTCTCAAGGGGGAAAATGCTGTGCCCACCTACCCACGACAGCCAGGGATGGAGGGCACGGCCAGTAGTCGGTCTCGATCTTGGCGGGCTGGTTGGGATCGGGGGGCTGCGCCGCCGGGAATTTGGAGGATTCGATGATCAGGTCCTCTATGAGGTGTTTCCCGTGGTGGGCGCTGGAATGGTGGTCTGGGGGAACGGCAGGGGTGAGGGGGCAGCTCGGGGACCACACACCATGGGGTATGGGGTATGGGATGTGGGTTAATATAGGATAATATGGGATATGGGATTTGGGATGTGGGATAATATAGGATAATGTGGGATATGGGATTTGGAATATGGGATAATATAGGATAATATGGGATATGGGATTTGGGATGATATGGGATATGGAGTATGGGGTTTGGGATGTGGGATCATGTAGCATAATATGGGATTTGGGATGTGGGATGTGCGATAATATAGGATAATATGGGATATGGGATTTGGAATGATATGGGATATGGGATGATATGGGATATAGGATATGGGATATGGGATTTGGGATGTGGGATAATATAGGATAATATGGGATATGGGGTATGGGGTATGGGATGTGGGATAATATAGGATAATGTGGGATATGGGATTTGGAATATGGGATAATATAGGATAATATGGAATATGGGATTTGGGTTGTGGGATGTGGGATTTGGGATATGGGTTTTGGGATGTGGGATAATATAGGATAATATGGGATATGGGATATGGGATATGGGATGTGGGATAATATAGGATAATGTGGGATATGGGATTTGGAATATGGGATACGGGGTTTGGATAATATAGGATAATATGGGATTTGGAATATGGGATACGGGGTTTGGATAATATAGGATAA